AGTGAAGGCTTTTAGACCTATTACTTACTTTAAATGAGTAAAGTATATCACAGACAAAAACATACAATTGAACATTAAAGCAACATCAAGGATCTCAATTCAATTGACCAAAAAACAGTGTTGAGGAAATTTACAGGTATGGTTTAATTTGTGAGACTGGTCTTCCTTTAGGGAGAAAGGATGAAACTGGATCTCTCGCTCGTCTCCACGGGCAAGATATTGCAAAGCTCATGATAACAACACCTGCCAGCTAGAAGGTCAGTGAAAAATGATCACGCGGCTTCAGTGTTCAATCCCAACCGAAAAAAAAAGAAGGAAAAGAAAAAGAGCAAAGTGAACCCACCCACAGGCATTCTAAGCCTCTACACTGAATTTCCTGTTTCCCACCAGTTTATGACCCTTCCCGTTACTGGATGGACGGCTGCATATCTGAGATTATTTAAAAAATAAAAGACTGGTTTAAAGCTCCTCCCCGCTCCAGTATGTAATTACATACAAATTAAAGTTCCCTTCTGACAAGCCTGGGGACCCATTTGTCACCGTGTTACGTACGAGCACCGTGGAGCCAATGCTCCGAGCGCTCTCACAGCTGCAAAGTGTTGAGTGTGTCATCCACTTTTGTTTATTCATTTTTACACCAAAAATATTTAAGGTGTTTCGTTTTGTGCTCCTCCTTGTCATTTCCGAGTTGGCAAACATGTTAATTATGGAAGTGCTTTTAATCACCATTTTCCCCCAACAGGCTAGAAAGGCTTCATGAGATTTGATGAAATAAGGAAACCCAAAGCAGTTGGTGGCCCAGTGGTTAAGCGCCTGGCTGCTAACTGAGAATGTGGGCAGCTCCCACCCACAGTGTAAAGATTACGGCCTTAGAAACGCTAGGGCAGTTCTACTCTGTCCTACAGGGTCACTATCAGTGGGACTCCGTTATCACCAAATGCAAAGTAAGGGCGTATTTGGGATAATTTTCCCCCAACTTCCTAATGGAAGTGGCAGGCAGCCAGAGGGAAACTCCGACCTTTGAACTGACTGACTTCAAGTTTTTTAAAACCTTTGATTAGACAAAAAAAAAAAAAAGAAAATAATAAATTCATGTGGCAGTGTGACAAATTAATGATTTACAAATGACAGAAAAGATATGCTATCCACAATACATGCCGGGTGACTTATTAAAAATTAAAAAATCCCGCATGCAAAGGAATAATTATAACTACCATCTTCCATCTTGCTGCTTTCCAAAATTCTGGAATCACTGTTAAGGAGGGGACATACCAGGGCTCTTTGTTGTTCTCTCACAAGAAAAGAACAGCGGGAACTCTGCCCGGAAAGAAACAGGCAGTGAACCTTCAGTCTTTGATTCCAGCCCTACACAGACAGCAGACTTCAGCCCGGGGAGCTTTTCTTTACGGTCAAGTTACGTTACGAACCTTTGAAAACAGAAGTTTATCACAGAAACGCTGACAGAGCCTTACCCAGGGAAGGGCTGGTGGGCAGTGCAGTAATATTAAGCAAGCTTTCCCTCCGCACAATGGAACTCAACCTGGGGGATACGTCTTCCAGTGGGCGCCCTCGGCCAGCAAACAACAGTGATTTAATGTGCTCGAGCCCCGGCCGCACGGCAGCTCTGTGACCCTCTGAGCCAACTGCTCTTTCTTTTTTAAATCGAAATACGCCTCAAAGTGTAAAGACTGCAGTTTTAGCCTTCCTTCGTGGATCTATTGCTTTCTTTCAACAACATCTGATGGCCTTGCAAGCCGCCGCCCACGGTCGGGTTGCTGGGTGATGGCATGCGGGCCGCATCGAAAACAACACACTGACCACTCTCAGCGGTTTATTCACATTTTTTCTCTGCTTATTTTAATATGCACCACGTGTAAATTAGATGAGGGCTATGGTAAAAACATTTCCAATGACTGAAATCTTAACATTTCCTTCTAACAATCTGGAGTAAATCACATATCCATTGATGATGAAGAATAAAACCATTTCTGCTACAATGTCGAGAAAAAATGTGTTCATTCATACAAACAGTTCCCACCCACGGAGACGGTTTACACGATGCAAGTAATGAACGAGTTTTTCTTTAACTAGTCTACTACCCAACGGATAAGATGAACCTTAAAATTCCCTTGAAAATACCGTATGGTTGGGTCATGTGACAAGAAAGGAAAGACCGTCCCCATTCCCAGGTCCCATCAGAAGAGCTATATTAAATACTTGGAAAAAAGAAAATACGGAAATACTCCCGGTGATGATTAAACTGGTAATTACAGAGAGACCATCAGAGACCATCAGGGTACCCATTTGTTCTATGACAAGTGAAATAAAAAATAAGATCAATTTGGTTATAGGAATCCCTTGAAGAACACCACCACTTAACTATTTCAAACTTGAACTATCTGAAGAATGTCATGAAAACAAACATTGGGAAGCACTGGGCTGAAAGCAAAGCCGTCTGGGTGCACCCACGGAACCAGCAGGCCTTGTGCTTGTCTGCTAACCCTCTGCACATTGGTAGCTCAATGCAGAAACGACTGCATTCCATCTGATGACTCAATATTTCTACTTGACAGGTCACATTCCACTGTTCCCTCGGCGCAGTCACGCACGGTCTACAGCCACGCACTGGCGCCCCACGCGGAATGGGCCCTGCGTTTTCCGGGCAAACCACCCCCCAACTACACACGGACCACAGGCCTCCCCACGGACGGTGGGAAAGGCCTGAGCCACACACTGTAGGCTCTGGGTACTAGACACAGTAGCCATGCATTTAATGCCCACAAGAAACGCAGACTCTGCAGAGCGGTACTTGAAAGAGAGAAAGGAAAAGGACAACATGCTGCACGTAGCTCCTGCCCGTAGGGCTCGCGGTCTCCTCACGCTCAGAGCTGAGGCCATGCCGAGCCTCCTTAGTCTCAGAGCAGGGCTTTGCCTTATAGTTTCTAGAGAAAGTAGTCATTTCTGATCGGTTCGGGGTCATTTTGTTGTTGTTGTAGAGTGCTGTCAAGTCGATTTCGACTAGTAGCAATTCCATGCGACCGAGTAGAACTGCCCCATAGGGTTTCCTAGGCAGTCATCTTTACGGGAGCAGATTGCCCGGTCTTTCTCCCTAGGAGCCACTGGGTGGGTTCGAACAGCCAACTGTTGGGTTAGCAGCCCAACGCTTGTCTGTTGGGCCACCAGGGCTTCTTTCAGATAGTTCAGTATGGTTTGAAACCTCCTGAAGGGGGCGGAATTCAAAACAGAAAACAAGAACAGCTCAGCCATGCTAAGCGGTTCAGCCACACTTAGCATTAGGTTAAGATGCTAACTTTGTGAGACACGGCTCGCTGGTTCTCTCCTAAACTGCGAGCTGAGCGAACCTCTGCAGGGTGTCTGAGGAGGGCCCCTGCTTCCCAGGCACCAGGGCCACCCTCCTCTCGAGCTTCGCGTTAATGTGAGTTCCCAAAGAAGCAGGAAGCACAGGCCTCTGTTCCGAAACGCGATATACTCCGTAAGAAACTCTCTGGGAGACAGATTTGGTAACGGGAGGGAAAACACAGGCCTCAGACAGATCTTGGCCCAAAGACAGGGAGAGGGGAAAAAAATAACTAAACGTGTTCCTCTGGACAGCTGAGAGTGGTGTTGGAAGGTTATTTTAGGGAAGTTTTATGCCCAGGGGTATCTTCTAGGTCTCCCCGTTCTGTTCCTCCTGGGAGACTGTACGTAGGAAATGACAACATGAACCGTTTCTGGGTTCAGCGCCAGGCTGGCCGAGGGAACTGTCCACTGGGGTGCTTTCCTCAACGCTTCCAACAGTCACCACCGGTGGGTCTAACAGTGTAAAGGTGCGCAGTGACTTGTCTTCCTACCAGTTTATTTCCTTAAAAACCTGTTCAGGATTGTTCCGGATCATTCCGGAACACTTTTCCCACCACGCTTTCCCCTCAGCCACCTTGCCAGCCCTTGGCTCTCCTACGTGGGCCCCTCACGCCTCGTGTGGTTCTCATGCCAAAGACGGCAGTGCATGAAAAACCAGGCGAGCTAAGGAACAGGGTGGCGCTTCGCTTTCTGTTAAAATCCCAGCCCCACAGAGCACCCGGCAATGTATTGCTCTTGTCCGCGAGTTGTTTTCCTGCAGAAGGTTATAAGGGACAGGCAGACCCTACCTCACCGAGCACGAGACGGGAGATGGTGATCTCCTGGGGGTCTGCCTGGCCCTAGCAGCAGATGTAGAAGCAGCATATCTGGGGCGTCATCAGCACATCTTCATGTGGAGACAATTTTTTTTGGGGAGTCACCACCTATTTTCTGGGTCAGGCTGTTGTTTGCCATGAACCCAACTCCTCCACTTGGGACCCCGGCTTCACGGCAGCTGACCGTTACAGATCTATTGGCAACATTATTTCTTAGGATTGTGAAGAACCAAAAACAAAACCAAACCCGTTGCCTTCGAGTCCATTCCGACTCACAGCGACCCCACGTGACAGAAAACTGCCCCATAGGGTTTCCAAGGCTGTCATCTTTATGGGAGCAGATCTCCAGGTCTTTCTGCTTTGGAGCCACTAGTGGGTTCAAACCACCAACCTTTGGGTTAGCAGCAGAGGGCTTAACCCCTGAGCGCCCAGGGCTCCTTCCAGCCATTTATACCAAAAACCCACTGCCGTTGAGTCGATTCCGACTCACAGCGACCCTATAGGACAAAACGGAACTGCCCCATAGGTTTTCCAGGGCTGTAATCTTTACAGAAGCTAACTGCCATGTCTGTCTCCAGTGGAGTGGCTGGGGGGTTTGAACCTTTTGGTTAGCAGCCAAGTGCTTAACCACTGTGCCAACAGGGCTCCTTTGAAGAAGAAAGAGGGGTGCTTATGCCTAAATTATAGGCCTGCCATTTTTGTAAACTCACGTAAAGGGACAAGCAAGATATTCCAGAGGTCCTCTTGCCTGGACATCTCAGTATCTAATCAACACCCCTGAATACGCAGTGAAATCAAGAACCGTGTAAGTAGACATCCAAAGCCTGGAAAGTTCCCTAGGAAGTGTTTTCAGTAGAATTCTATGCACTCAGAGGGTTAACATGTGCTATTTTACATACTGCAGATCCTAGCTTGACAGATGAAAACATTCATTGCTTCTAACTTTAAAAAAAAAAAAATGGTGCATTAGTCTTAACCCTTTGAGCATCCTATTAGCAGCAAGTCGCAATTCTCACAAAAAACCACATGTCGTCTCATTCAGCAAAGGTAGACCAGAACACACTTTCCATTCGGCCATCCAAGCATCAGCGCTAGATAAATCAGATGGAACCGTTGGACATAAATTTGGAAAATCTCAGAGTCTCAAAGGGTTAAGCTAGGGCTTCCAGTACGGGGGTCTCATTAAAAGGGCGAGTTGGGGGAGCGGACAGTCTCGGAGGAGCTTGGGGAGTAGTCTTCCGATTCCGAGTTGAGTTCCGGGGGAGCTGGCTGTGCCTTGTACCGGGCCCTCACATCCTGGTGGCGTCTTCGTCGGAAAACCTGCCTCTCCTTATCAAGAGCGGTGGTCTGGCAGGGGCATAAAATGAGAAAGAGGACAATTAGGCCGAGGGAAATGACACCATAAACCAGTCCTGGAGTTCGACGCCAAGCTGGGCCAAGGGAGCCACCCACGGGGGCGCTGTCTGCAGAGCGTCCAACAGTCACCACTGCTGGGGAGTTCTCTGCTCCTCACAGTCCCCATGGCTCAGCAGGCACAAGCCGCATGGATGGAGGTGGTGTGTCTGACCTGTCCCCAGCCCTACTAGATCTCCACTAGCTCCGTCTCTGTTCACCCTGGTCCAGCCAGACACCCACGTGTGTGCGCCAGTGGGAAGGCAGGCCCCATGTGCATTAGCATTCAGCTCAGGGCGGCTGTGTAATAAGGAAGAAAGGTGATGAAGCTGTCAGACAGGGAGACAGGGCCCCGAGCTCCCCCTGTTGTTTTAGCACCTCCTCATTCTCAATGATCTTATTATCTGTTGATGAGGCAGCCAGGCCGAATCCTGGGTTTAATGTTAATGAAACCAATGCCTGGAATTGAACACTGCTCTGAATGAAATTAAACCAAATGGAAAGTTTCCCTTGGAGTTCCCTTGCAACGCTCATTTTCCTCGTGGCCTGTGGCCACTTACAAGGCTGGAGTTGCATTGTGTAGGTCTCTACGCCTCACTTTTCCTGAGGAAACCTCAGAGGATGTCCAGGATGGGATATCTGGCCACAGCTCTGGAAGTTACTTTGACATCGGAATTGGGAACGGCATGACTTCACCCCAGATTTAATGGGTGAGGGGAGGACAGGCAGTCTTACAGAGAAGGCCTACATGGCGAGCAGAAAAATACAGAACACACGTAGAATACACAACTGAAGAAAAATATAGCAACACACATAAAAGCTAAAGGCATCCGCGTTTGAAAGTCCCTCTTTACAGGCTGTAGCCTGGAGGTTAGCCTGCTCTCTAAAAGGCTATTTTTCCTCTACAGGGATCTACGCCACCACTTGGCCTCCTGAAAATTTACTGTTAACTTCTTCAAAGAACAGAGATAAATTTGTAGTCAGCCTGGTCCGGGGAACAAAGTGATAACTCAGCCCCCTCACACGACTGCAGTACAGAGTTAGGGTCACCTCAGCTCTCAAACAGGGCTATCCGAGCTCCAAAATGAAGTAATAAAGAAAGAAAAGGAGACGGTGTGCAGAACGGGCAGAGGAAAGGGCTTCGTTGGGCCCAACCGACCTACTTTAAAAATAATCCCCACGCTGAACAGCAGTGTTACAAACCAATGAGAAAGGTAAAGTTTAAGGATTCACTTGTGTTTCTCTGGATTGTTAATACAATGATTCAATGGCTGTTCTGGGGAAACGCCACCTTTGATTCTTTCAAAAAATTCTTCTGGAATTTTTAAGGACGCTCCTATATACTTCTTGGTTCTTATATCCACCAGGTTTACGTTATTTCAGCATCATAAAATCCAAATTCCTAACTTTATTTAAAACACCGTAAGGTTACGACACATGGTATTTCGCTTTCAAAGCAAACTGAACACTTCTGTTTGTGGAGAGTTGAATGTTTGTGGAAAACAGACATTCTATTTAGTCTGACTCACATAAAACCATTCTGTCATTAATCCGAGAGTAATATAAACTCTTCTCCTCGTCCTAAAAATATTTCCATTTCTACCTTCTCCAGAGAGAGAAAAATGGCTATTAGCCATGGCAGAATTCTGACTAGTGAACGGACGCAGTCAGGTGGAAGGATAAGCATGCAGCCCTGTAGTGAGGGATTGGGAGTCCAGCCCGCCTTTGCTCCATTCTCTCCGTCGTTCAATAAAAGCAAGAATAATTCTCGCCCACCCTCACAGAATGGTGTATGTAAAATCGGCTTCTAAACAGATAAGACTGTGTAGCAATTTGATACAGGAAACCCTGGCAGCGTAGCGGTTAAGTGCCAAAAGGTTGGCGGTTTGAATCCACCAGGCACCCCTTGGAAATTCTATGGAGCAGTTCTACTCTGTCCTTACAGGGTCACCAGGATTCGGAATCAATGCAACGGGTTTGTTTTGTTTTAATTTGATATGATAACATTTTAAAATCAAGTGTAGGTCAAAAGACTGCTCCATAGGGTTCACAAGGCTGTGATCTTTCAGAAGCAGATGGCCAGGCCTGTCTTCCGAAGGCGCCTCTGGGTGGGTTTGAACCATCAACCTTTCGGTTAGCGCTCTAGTGCTAAACTGTTTGTGGACAATTAAGTAACTGTGGTCAGAAGAGATGAACCCTGGTCGTGCAACGGTCAAGCACTCAGCTGCTAGCCAAAAGGTTGGCAGTTTGAAACCACTGAGCAGCTCCTTGGGAGAAAGACCTGGCGATCTGCTCCTGTAAAGATTACAGCCTAGGAGACCCCATGGGGCAGTTCTGCTCTGTCCTGTAGGGCTGATATGAGTCAGAGTCGACTCCATGGCACTTAGCAATAACAACAACAGTTCTGAGTAGGCCTGGAGCAGCCACCCAGATCCTGGTACTGTGTGCAAAAAAACGAAAGCAAACCAAGGCCGTCGCCGTTGAGTTGATTCTGCCACCAGGGCTCCAGTGCTGCATGCAGCCTAAGACTAAAGCCACCACCAGACAGCAGAGCAGAGACGAACGAAACCAAGTCCCGACTGAGTGCTGAATTAGTCCATCATGAATGCCAGAGCTGCCTCTTGGACTTTTCATAGCCGGCAAACTAATGAAGGAGCCCTGATGGCGCAGTGGTTAAAGTGCTCAGCAAAGGTTGGCAGTTGGAACTCAGCAGCCGCTCCGCAAAGAAAGACACAGCAGGCTGCTTCTGAAAGAGTCCAGCCTAGGAACCCTATGGGGCAGTTCTCTGTCCTCTAGGGTCGCTAGGAGTCAGAACTGGCTCGGTGGCAGTGGGTATAAACTAACGAGTTTCCTTTTCGCTGAAGCCAGTTTGAGTTTTCCTCCTTTACAATCAAAGCAGCCCTAACGGATATCTCTCTGAATGGGCTTTAATCTTCTCACCTCTGTACCTTGGCTCAAGGTGTTCATCAACCTGAGATCACCTCTCCTCCTCTCTGCCCCCTTAGGTTTATCAACGCTCCAACAGTCGATCAGATTTCACCTCCTGCATCATCCCCGCCCCCTTCTTTTTCTTCTAGGCGTTTATTGTCTTGATCGAGCTTTCGGCACTTAATGGCACGTTGGCCTCTTTTGAGTGCACGTCTCCCGGAGAGCACATAAACTCCTCTACAGCAGAATCTGAAGCCCCTGCACTCCAGAGTGCCTAGCAGAGGCTGGTGTTATACTTCTTAGGCACATAATAAATGTTTCTTAATTAATACAGGATTAAATTATTTTAAATAATAGTTATATACTTTACTTTCTAAGTAACAGAAGAATAGAACCCAAACTAATTCCCTAACACGAAAGAGCAAGAAGTTAAAACTATTCATGTCCATATTTAAGTTTACAATTTATGTCCCATATATGATCAAATTATGCCAGGTAAAATTAATATCTTCATTAATTCTGCTCATGCATTTATCCATTCAATAAACATTTATCATAGCCCAATGTCTTATCACAGTGAGCACTGCCTTATAGAGTATCTTTAAAATTTTAATTGTGCCTATAAAATTATCTTGCCTCTAAAATTTGTGCAATTCATCTTTGATGACTGAAGTCTTTGGCCCACCACAGAGTTTGAGACACGGATGAATTCAGCAAAGATATGGGCTATCTGCCATTATATACTTTTTAAAAGGTATTATTAAAAAATATATATATAATCAAACTGATGATTTTCCCACACACAAAAAAAAAAGCATTTGAAACCTAATTTGTGCCCTGAAGTGCTGCATCCCAAATTTAAAGTCTGGGCCTGTTCCACATTTCTGAGTAGCAGCTTTCCTCTTTATCAATCACAAACACCCCAGAGGTCAAGGGTGTAAAAGTCAGGCTGTTGTCTTCAGGTATAGGCCTGATGCTCCACTGATATTTAAGGCTTCCTCGCAGATTTCTGATTTTATTTGTTATTTTGTTCACGCTCAGCTGCTTTGTTGGAACCAGCGTGAATGAGCCTCCAGCAGAATCCCTGAGCTTTCCCAGTAAGTCACTACTTCACTAAGAGAAGGTAGGAGGACCTGAAGCTCCATTATCACGTGCTGGTCTTCATCACCACAGGTTAGAGGTGAGCAAGAACCTCCTTGAAAGTCTGGACTTGACCATACAAACCCGCTGTCTTTGAGTCGATTTCGACTCATAGTGACCCTCTAGGCCAGAGTAGAGCTGCCCTACAGAGTTTCCAAGGAGCACTTCATGGATCTGAACTCCTGACCTTCTGGTTAGCAGCTGAACTCTTAACCACTATGCCACCAGGGTTTCCTGGACTTGACCAGTAATAAGCAAATGCGAAGCTCTAACGGAGTTGTTTAAAAAATACACAACAACTGCTATTCTGTGTGCTGGGATGTTGTCGTCAGGGGCTGTCACGGCGATTTTCAACTCACAGTGACCCCATGTGACAGAACAAAACTGCCCCATAGGGTTTCTTGGGCTGTGATCTTTACAAGAGCAGATCACCAGGTCTTTCTCCCACAGAGCCGCTGGGTGGGTTTGAACTGCCGACCTTTCCGCTAGCAGGCGAGCGCTTAACCACTGCACCACCAGGGCTGCTTCATTATTCTTATATTATTTACTTGAAAGTACTGGCTTGAAGCTTTTTGGATAATTTTAAGATCTTTGAGTAATTTTCAAACCGTAACACCTGAAGGATTCTCCCGCATGGAGTATTTTGGAATCCACTTGACGGCAACGGGTTTGGTTTTGGTTTTTGGGGGATTCATTTGCTTCAAAAAGCTGATGCTGTGGAGTTATACATTGTTAGCATCCCGTACTGTCAGACGTTAGTAAGCAGAACTTTAATTCCTCCTAAATGCGACTATGTAATGATCTTGCTGGGTGCTGTTGAGTCAATTTCTGACTCATAGTGCCCCCTTGTGAGACAGCAGAGTTGCCCCGTAGGGTTTCCTAGGCTG